CTTCATTTAAATATCTCTGAGAGCCAACTCACTGATTACACTGTTGGGTAGCCGTCTTCTTCGATTTTCATCGCTCTCTTGCTTCCATTTTGCCGCATCTTAAGTAACAGTCCATCGCAAACAGTTGATGTATATACACTACAGTCTGGCAAATTTCAACTGGAAATGGCTGTTTTGGTGTCAGTGCATTCCCAAAATTGCAAAACATTTAGTTCAGAGATATTGAGCACGCAGAGACAAACAGTTACACCTCTTACGCCATCACGATTTACGTTACATATACGGGTTGCTGATTTACATTTCGATGAGGGCAATCCCGTCCGCACGGTCAACCTGTTTGCTAACGCTATTTGTGTCTTTGACGTATTATAAGTACAAGATTTACAAATAGGATAATTATTTGACCAATGGCGTGTAGTGTTTCAAAATACGATCCCGTCTAACATCAGTATTTCATATAATGATTATTAATGGGAAAGATACTCCTGGCTGAACATGTTAGCCCCACAGGGATTCGATAATGGAGCTTGATATTCAGTAGTAATGAAAACATTCTACTTGATGCTGCAAACTTTATTAGGCGCCAAATAATGACATTCAAACATGGCTGCGTTCGTACTACTTTTCACAACCAAGGTAATCTACTCAGGCCATTTTGTTTGCATGCAGCCGTTTTGTTATGCCATTACTTTTGGGTCTCTTGTGTAGTAACTTTGCAAATAATGTACTCATTTCCTTTGTTCATTATTGATAGGTAACCCCAGATTTTGTCGACAAAATGAACAGACAAAATGAAACGGAAAAGTAAACGAGATCAGATAAATCGCCTGCATAGACAGTACGAATTCTAAATAGTGGGCGGCTACTCGAATATCCCGCAGTAGACATCATCTGATATTAGAACAAATATCTGTTCACCGGTCTGTTACCATAGTAACCTGGCAAATAAAAGCACTTTCTATAAGTTACTGTGGCTTATTAGATATCAGATTTCATGGTTATTGATCGGACACAAGAAGATGCGAACCACGATAAAGTTAAAAGACGTAAACCTATAGCGTCTCCTCTATTTCGTGATGTCACTAAATCTAGGTTTTCAAACCATTTTGCAACTTGTTTTTGCCAAGGTAAATATTAGTGCACCATAGCAACTAGAGGACCATCTTTGGTGGGAAAACAGGTTTCTCTTGCCTTTGTGCTTGAAAACCTATAGTTTTGAGGAGAGATAACCCAAAGGTCAAGTTACAAACGTGATCTAGCGTAATGTTGGGTTTAGGCGGTTGAGTCTGCAGCTATATACTTTGCTATCAGCGACAGAGCGTATCCGAAAGTTGGAGAAAATTACATAGAAGTGGACCTTCCTTTCTTGAAAGGGTTGAATTTGAGAGCAGAGGGTCGCCACATTTGCAGTAGAAAAGGTTGTTTCCATAGGTCTTGAGCCATTAAGATGCACCGGTGATCTGCAACATTTTGAGACCACAGTTCAGAACTGTACACCATTTTTTACTCATCTCTCCATATTTCATGTAACCAATAAATTAGCACTTCAGGGGGGCTTGAACCGCCCACAGATCCTCTATACCAACTACTGCAGAGAGCGTTGTTTGTCACTTTCTTTAGAAGGGATTAGGAGGGCAGCCAAATGCTCGATTTTCAAAAAAAGTGTTAGGGCGGGGCAGAAAATACGCCTCAGTGGCACACGATTAATTCTGTTTGAATGTTGCCATGAATTGTTTGAAATGTTGCCAAGCTGTTTGTTAATATTGGCCGTTGGTGACTGCAGATAGTTTGGTCTCAAACTATATATGCGACTCTTCAAACTCATCATCGATTTCCATTTATGACCCAACCAATGCTTTTATATATTTTATGGTTTCACTGATTTGGCATCATGTGAAGTCGTGCTGTTTGGTAATTTATTCTTTTACATACTTAAACCCTGGTGCAGTACCTGTCAGGATATGTTGCAATAAAATTAAGTAATGAGTAAAATGTATGTTTGCTGTAAGGACAGAGAGAGTACATGCAGATGTCTCATTGTCACCACATCTTTTGCAAGTAGTGTCTTTTTCGACTCCAATCCGATGTCTTTATTTTAGACGGCGAAAATACAATCCACTTGAGCAGATCAGGGCTTATACACAACGTACTCCCACGCATCCTTGACTCAGAATAGTCATTGTTCTCTCAGTCAACGTTACAAAGCTAAAGCGGTAAATTTGTAGCGCTCTTCGAGAGAAAATACTCACTTGGGATTTCAAGAAGTACCAATTTGGAATGGATTTAGTTAGTCGAGTGTGCTCCTGTATGGTAGGATTTGTTAGCCAACTAGTTAGCTGCAATTTCTTTAAGGCTAAAATGGTAAGTCGACAAGCATTGCGCACTTGTCCTCTTGCAGAAGAAGGCGTTCGTCTTTGTCACCACCCGCTTTTCGTCCACTTCAGAAAAGTAGTTACTTTTTCTTTATCTTCGTAGTTACTTCACAAACAACTGTCAAATGATACCATAGCTGGTGAAAAGAACCAAAGTGTCAGCCAAAAGCCCTTCTCGCTTCACTTCTTTTGGCCCAGTCATCGGGGTACCATACCAAATCCCTACACACTGACACACTATTAGAAAATGTGTCATCTATGCTGTATATTCCGGACAGATTTATGAATAGAAAACATAATTACAACTGAAATTTTTTAACATTGCCATTATGCTGAAAATTTGACAGTGAACTTGATGTAACCCAACTTGGGTATTAGGCAGATGACCATTGCACGGCTGTATTACCAAACAAGCAGAAAGTCTGTTGCTTCAGAAACGGGAACATTTGGGGTCTTGAAAATTATCCAAGATGAAAAGAAGGATGGGTGCACGATCTATCACACTAGAACTCCTCTCCAGCCGTTCTGCCCGGCCCCAGGCAACAGATCAACATTATATGTGTGCTCTGACGCCGGCTGGTATGTCGTAGCGGCTGATGGTGAAACCATCGATCAACTTGTCGTGCAAACTCCCTCGCCAATTTGTCTCCGGCTCACGACTGCAAACATATCTGCACCCTTCCACAAAAATGAAAATATGTAGCAACCAAACCTATCTCATATTTATCCGTAATTACACGATGGCTTTGAGTAAATGTTGATCACAGTGTACTGTGTCGGTTTTTATTACAAATGTAGGGCGGGAATCTTGAAGACACAGTTTTGCTCATGGATGGGGTTTATAGTGGAGTTTTGCTTATACACTTTTTACACATATCTCCTCTAATATTGTCCATTAAAGGAAATCTAGTTAACGACTGACAGAATCAATATTGTCCAATGCCATGTGTATTCAATAAGTGAAATATAACAAGGACCATCGTAATTCATATTAAGATGTCGTTTACAAAACAGCACAACATCGGCATTAATAGCAACAACGACATACACACGATAACAAAATATAAAACCTACACAAGTAACAGCGACAATTCTCCAGATTGTTATGAAAAGGAATGGTTACAAATGTGCACAATACCCATTTTTGCATGCTGTGGCGAATTTTCAGAAAACCTTCCTAGAGATCCAGATATCACCTACAATCACTCATTGTTACACAAAATTTGTATTAAAGGGCTGACTTTGTAATGGTTCAAGTTAAACAAAGTCGGTCTGTACACAGTGTACGGTGTACTGAATAATAAAAATAATAAACTTGTACACGGCAAGCCTTTACGCGTTTTCGGCAGTATAAGAGCTTGTAATACGTAAGGGTTGATGGGAGCAGTAAGTTCTGTGAATTATTATGCTATTGAATTGCTGCGATGTAGTTATGAATATTTAATGAGAACAGCGACTTCATATCCAGTTGTTGAGTTATTAAAACCTACACGCTACAAATACTGCGCCTTTCGACCAGTCACTTTTATTGTTAATTAAAATAGGTCTCAATTTTATTAACTCTAAACACGTCAAATTTGTTTTCACATGTACTAAAATTATTCGAATATCTGACCAATTTTCTTCATGGGAAGTTACCCTCCAATATTAATCAACAGTCGTATCGGTAGCATAGGATTTAAACTGAACGATTCATGATTCGTGTTAAATTGAGGAAACATTAATAAGGAAACATCGTGAAGAAAACATAAACATGGAAAAATTACTGAGAACTGATGAAAACGCCACAGGATAGGGGCTTTGTTTACAGCGCTTTACCTTGTTGCACGTTTCACTTTATCTGTCAAATATTTTTCAGGTCGGTGGGTATATTCATTTTCCTGAGAGCCATCCCCTCATTTATGATCGCCAATCAAGTCCAATTCATTCTATCTGATACATCGCAGAGGTAGACAAAATTATCGTATTATCATGTATTACAACAAATTGAATGCTGTTAAGAAACTTTTTTTGTAATTTTGTCTGTCTTGACGATATTTAAAGGTAACAATCTCGGACCCATTGTGTACGAGATAACTAGACCATCGTTCTTCCGATGTGCCTGTCATTTCTTTCAAGGTTTAACCAAAATTTACTTTCCCGTATATGATTTACTTCTGCAATTATATCCTCTACTCGTTATGATACCAGTCCTGAATGCAGACTGTTAGTAAACCTTAGTTCGGTTGATATTGAATCATACAAATATAACATATTACACCCAGAAAAATATTCTTTGAATATTTGCCAATTACAAATGATTGTACGTTGATTGTTAGTATAGTCATTCATTTTGATAAATAATGCTCTTATTTATTGACTATGTTGCCATTTTTTGTCACTGATATTCAGTGCTTGTATAAATCAGATAACCTGTTTGTGTAGAGAAACTGTCTTTTTGAAACTTTTCAGTTTAAAACAACATGCTTGTATTTATCGTTATTACAACAGGTAATTTTGTTTTCCAGATAATTATAAATATAATACTAATTACCGAAAATGGGTCACTTGGGAGACTTACCCATAAGAACGTGCACAAACTTTGTTGGCCCATAATTAAATATTCCCTAATCTGATCTGAACCAAACTTTGTGTGTTTTCAATTTAGACCCTAATCGATCATCTCTCAAAATCTGGACGGTAAAATTCGGCCTCCTTCTGGTAGATGGGGCATTAAAGAGACATTGCAATGTCTCCCTAATGACCGATGTCTCCCGAAGGTCGAAAAATTTGCCACAAAATGTCTCCCTAATGACACCATTTGTAAGAATACTATGTAACTACCGTAGTAATAATCAACTACATCTAGGACACACTATATTCGAGCGCGGTAAAAAGCTATTGATTTTTCTCCAACAATGCTGAATTTTCTATCCTAGGTTTTGGAAAAAAATATTTCCCACGAATGTTACTCAAGTGATTTTCCTAGCCTACTCGTGTTTTATTGTACATGTCAATCCACCTAAAATTTAAGTTTCCAAAAGTACCCGTGAATCAAATTCTACATTCATGACCATTAAGTTAAATCAACAGATTTCATCTTTGATTTTTCATTTGCTAACATTAGCTGTTGTTTATCGTGAAATAATAAAATATGCATTTGGAAGCGCATCACCATACATAATATCCATCCCCTTACGTAATTTAGTAATTCAGTTCTACGTTATTAGCAGGAATGTGTTGTTCAAATGACAAAACAAGACATTAACTGTCAGGAAAGACATTTCGATCTGAACGTATCCAACCGAGTTAACTCCCAACATCAGCCAACATAGTACCTACACTTTGCCAAAGACAAAGAATATTTAAATCTTCAACTTATTATCAAACAAAACGTTTATTTCATGTCTTGACCTGCTTAGATATAATATGCAAACATTCCCAAAGTTGCTAAGCAAGTGTAAATGTATATATAGTACATAGGTTAATACACATAATCTTTTTCAAAACAATTTTGGAGCATTTTTATTCAGTTAAAATTATTTCCTTAAATAAGGTGAAATCCGTTTCTTTTTTAGGAAATCTAATCGTGATTTGTAGCATCCAAGTGGTTATTTCAGGGTTTAGGAGGGTTTTTTTAATATAAGCATAGGCCAACTACGATCGATTTTCCAACGCTTGAATCAACGAGTCGATAAGAAGTCGGCTCTCTCTTGATTTTCAGGCCGATCTTCCGACAGGCATCATAATTTCCATTTCGCACCCGTGTACGGATGTGATAATTTCTTGGCTGATTGCTTGAGTTTCTACCTGACTGCTACCTCCAACAACGATGACAAGGCCTGTGTCTTGAGAACGAATCACTTCAATTTACGATGTAACGAGTTTCAATCAGTGCTTGTCCCGGATAGTCCCCGTTTGTTAATGCTACATTTTAGCGTGTTTAATTTCCCTTGTCGGGAGAGGATACTCGGTGACATGTCAGTGGGGCGTCCAACTGAACAGGCTTGAAGCAAAGACTAAACAACACAACTGCCAAAACAAAGAACCGACCCATTGTACCTAGTTGCAACTGCTAACAGGTCGTGTTATGCGGATCATAAACACCCCTCGATTCATCTTGTTTATCGACAGACATTCACACTTCTTCTCACTTTGTTCGTGTGCTAATAAAACAAATCGCAGAATAATAAGAATAATGCATATACGTGGTGGTATGCTGCACAAGTCCCATATTACATGTAAAGATTTTCAGAAATGAGCTGTTGAGCTGTTGCACAACGAGAGTCATTTCCTGTTAAAAATTTTCAGTCTGTTCATTTTCCAGTAAATGAGCTATGCCATTGGCCTTAATTGTGACCTAACTGGTAATTCATTAATCATTTTCAAGTTAAAGCTAATGACGACTCTTTTCTTAATGGCCGTCGACTGTCTTATAATGAGGCAACGTCCGTAAAGTATTTTCGTTTGTAACAAAAATAAAAGCACAACTCCTTGAATAATTCAGCCCAGTGAATAATTTAATATATAGCAAGAACAAAAATAAGACTGATTAACTGAAAATGAAAGTAGAATCCAGGCATCCGTGTCAATGTTGATGGTCTAGCTGACGGTATGAAAGACTTGATTCCAGCTGTTTTAATAAACGTGACCAAATTTGCATCCCAAATCCTTAAGGTAGTCAACCTCGCCGTGTCCAATAAAGAGTGTCTGGCTCCATCAGCGGCTTATAAAGCAGGGAAAAATTCGCAGCAAATCAGTCAGTGCCTTCCTCCGTTAACACCCTTCAATTACTCCCTAGTCCAACATGGCAGTTGCAGGAGTATAGGCTGGCCCAGGAACCAATCTTATCTCCTCCATTACTGATCCCAGTACAATATTACCTCCCTGTCATCAACTTAAAAAGTCTAATTCACGATAGGGGGCATACTTAAAAGTCGGATACCTTGTAGGGATCCTCTTTCATAAATGGATGTTGAGGTTGGTTCGTGAGGAACTAGGTAACGAATCTACTTAGACCGCACGTGCGCCTAGGACAGCTCAAGTGGGCGTAACAGGATGACGACTTGAATGAGGTCAAGCTATGCCAACGCTTTATATGTGTTGATTGTGTGAGTGAAATCTCAGTAGTATCGTGATAATTTTTGTTTAGTTGTGTTGAAGGATTAAAATCCCTGACCACATTAAAATTTGTGTTCATACAATTGATTTTTTGATGAAAAAGCGCAGGTCCACACCCATTGCCTTTGGTGGAGTTTGTTTCTGCAATGCGGTGAATATTTTATTTCCTATACTTCACCCCCGTATCCTACTTCGATTTGAATCAGTGATCCCTTAAAATTCTGCCTGGACAAAGTTAACTGACAGATCGTGCACTTTTTGTTCCACTGGGTTTTATATTCTGGATGCACATTTGATTAATTATTGCAGGTTGTTCGCTTGCATACACCTCTATGCAGTAGCCATAGGCCTATTGTTTTCGAGGCGGTTTATGGTACGAATCAATTTCTTAATACATGTATAAATCAAAGAAAATAAGCCCCCAACAAGCTGTATGCATCCGTATTAAGGAATGCGTGGAAGTACATAATACCACTCCTTAACTGTGGGCAGAATGTTTTTTATGCGCTCGAATATCGACCTCGTGTGACTATTCAAAACATTGGGAGGTTTTCAAACCGAAATGTAGATACTAAGAGGTAAGTTTTATACTGCAAGCACCGTTCATTACTAAAACAATTACCTAGTATCTTTCATTAATAACTGGCCAGCCCTATTGATTGACCGTCTGTTTTGCTAGCTCCATTGATTTTTCCGTGTAAAACATTTTCATTAGTAATGCCATTACGTGCAGAATGCATGCTTTTTTTCAAAGGCAACCTATATATACTTTAAGATTTAAACTTGCTTTGATCGACTGAATGTTAAAGAATAATTTCCTAAGTTTTTCATAGTCATGGTTTTGTAAAAAGACACTTTAATTGTTGGTTGTGATAGCAAGTAATGAAACTCATTTCAATGCTTAATTGTTTTCCTATCTAGGTTATGTCAGGACACAGTGAAAGAGACAGTTCGCACCTTCAACATTCTCAACATGAATTTACATCAGAACCATTTGCTGCAAAACACAGACATTTTTCACAAGTGTAGACGTGACTATATTGCGAAGAATATTTTTGCAGTTAGCAAACATTTAAGTGGAAGTAACCATTGCCATGCACCCATTCTAACAGACAATATCCAGTAAGCCCCGCCAACTGCGCACGTGGACGTTTAGCCAACCTCGTTCCCATAAGAACGATCTTGCCGCGCCATGTTGGTTTCCACCATGCCTTGCGCGATCTAACTAACGCGCACGCAGCCCATGGAAGCGAGGATGGCATTTTAACATGTGCTCTTCTCGAACGCCACTCTACATGTTTCAGCCGCGCGTATCATACATACGTGCATGCATGTCGAACATATTTTATAAATCACGAATGTGACTGGTCAGAAAACAATTGGGCGGGGCCTAATGGATGGGTCTATTGATTAAATCTTCCTCAATAATGATTTGCCTTCCAGCCATACTTTTGTCCGTCGCAGAGTAAGATTTTCTTGAATGCAATCTTGAAATCCCTGTTGGCAAACGCATAGCACATTGGATTGCATGTGCTGTTGATGTAGCAGAGAAAGTAGCTAAGTTCATACAGGTAGGTGTTGACGCAGTCAGGACAGAAGCCTTTGACAATGACTAGAACACTATACGGAGTCCAACAGACAATGAAGATTCCTAGGATAGCGCTCAGCGTCCTTACAGCCTTAGCTTCTTTCAAACTGTTCAGAGCGGCTGACAGTGTCTTACCTATGGTGTGATCCTTACTGTTTGGACTGGCTTTTGTTGAGGTTCGATGCGAAGCTTGTGTGGTCCGGTCGCTCTCTGAGAACTCGTCTGTTTCTGATGGTAGGGTGACCCTCCGCTCGCCGTCGACGCGACAACCGTTGTTGTAGTGTGTGGAGCACGAGGCACGTCCGCATACGTCATTGTCTTCTTCGGGATGAGGTGGTAATGGCAGGTCCCTAGTCGGAAATGAAACTGTTTGTTCATCTTCTGAGTCCAGCATAACCCCGGAAGAAAACTTTCTGTCATGGTGATTGTTATTGTGTGAGGTTTCTGCTGGTTCAACATGGTGCCTGACGCTCAACCTGCCAATAATTCTGGCCTCGCGCTTCACTAGATGTCTCGTTAAGAGGTATATGCGTATGTACAAGATAAGAATCACGACAAGTGGTAACCAGTAGATCATTATGATGGAACCAGCAGTGAAGAAAGCGTCGTTGGTAAACTGCACCTCACACTGATTGGCTGGTACGGTACGTTTTCCTTCAAAGAACTGCCAGCCAACAATTGGCACCCCAAAAAGCAAAATAGTGGTGATCCAACTGGCTATAATTAAGAACAAGACACGCGCACGGGTCATGTCACTTCGATAGGTCATTGGATGAGACAGACACCGATAACGATCAACACTTATTAGAAGGATACCGAGTACAGAAGCACCACAACAAAGATAGTCTACGAACAGCCATATGTCGCATATCACTGGTCCCAATGGCCAGTGGTCAATCAGGAGATACATTGTGTACAAAGGCATGGAGAACGCGCCAATAATGACATCAGCTGACGCCATGCTGATAATGAAGTAGTTGCTGAGGCAGCGAAGTCTTCTCTCACGACAGAACGCGACAATCACCAATGCATTGCCACATATGGTTATTAGACTAGCTATTGCGGACAGTATGGCCATGCAGATTATCTTGATTATTTCCAGGTTGGACAATCCCTCGTCCGGCTCATCAGTGCAGTTAACTCCGGTACAATTCATCGGTGCATCCATAGTTTCCACCGTTACCGTAAGCTCCATGTTAAATTGTCGATGTCAGATTTCGAAATAACGTCTGGCTCCCAACTGGTTCCTCTTGAAGGCTTCGTGTATGACTCCACCCAGGAGGTTGCCCAGGTGTCTAGTGAGTCAGCAATGTCCTCAGCTTCTTACATTCCTGCAGATAGATAATAAAAATCAGGAAATTGGAACTAGTTTTGTTTGCAGTTAGGTTAGTTGTTCTGATGTATTTGTGACGCCTTATTTTCAAAATGTTGGTTCGGAGCAACATTAAGTATGATCTTGATTCTCACGTGAAATTAGGTTTCGGCACTTTTTCTCTCCAATCAAGAGCAACAAGTGTCTTTGGCAACTTTATTTTCAATGTTTTTCGTGCTAAAAACGAAGAATGTATTACCAGGAAAATGTGAGTTTTCCCCCTTCAAGGGTGTCAAAATATCCTGTGATATCTATTTGACAGGAAGACAGGCCCAGAATAAAAACTTGATCCAATTCTAAAGGTGGGTTATTGCTGTAGGACCCGCATCCCTGTAGACTTCCACAGGAAAATCGGGATGACTGTTACATCACGTTCACCAGTCACCACCACAAAATGTATTATTAAACTGTTTGTGAGTGAGTGATGTGCCGTGAACATCTCCAGCGTTTGGTGTGAGACTAGATTATTGCAAGCACGTCTACTGGCCATGCCTTGATTAGATTCTTCATATCTTACGATGGGCCTTGTGTTAGTCGACCTTGATGCCTTAATAGAAACCAGCAAGCGCTGCATGCACAGATACAACATCAACCCTGCCTGCATTCATCATGGACGCCAAAATAACATGACCAGATCTACAGGGTGTTCATATAAAAAGTATACCGAGATAAAAATTACTGTAATAACAGAACTACTTTGTATATGGGAAAGAGAAATATATCTCTTGAAAGGACAGAATGCCCTCTTTGCAATGATATACAGCTTGTGATGTTATTGACACAGATGAGTGAACAAACTAGAACTGAAATTGGCACTGTGACAAGTTTGCATATGTGATTAACAAGGCTAGACCATGCTAGTGTGCAGAATACCAAATGCGTTTGCCTTAAGAACTGTGAGAAGGTGCATATTGATTACAAAAGTCAGCATGTGGGGTGAAGGTGATTTCTTTTTATGGCGTTACCTGCAGAACCAAATTTTCACTACACCCTCAGCTAATGTTCAGGAGTTGACATGCAAGAATAGTGAAAGAAGTCAATAATCTCCGTCAAGACCTTGAAATGATCAGACGAGCAGTAAGGGACATGTTACGAAGATGTCAGATGTGCATTGAGAGGAATGGTGGCCATGTGGAGGACTTAGCACATTAAACTGATGAGGTAAGTAGCGAAAACAAAGCAGATAAGATTGATTTAGGTACATTCCTTGTTTTCAAGAATGCGTTCTTAATGCAAAGGCATTTGGTATTCTGCACACTTGCATGGTCTAGCCTTGTTAATCACATATTCAAACTTGTCACTGTGCCGATTTCAGTACCCTTAACACCGGTCTAGTTTGTTCACTCATCTGTGTCAATAACATCACAAGCTGTATACCATTGCAAAGAGGGTATTCTGCCCTTTCTAGAGATATATTTCTCTTTCCCATATATAAAGTAGTTTTGCTATTACAGTAATTTTATCTCGGTATACTTTTCATATAGACACCTTGTAGAGTCACTGGAAAGTTCTAGTAGACTTACTACATGAAATACATCATTCCATGTATATGTAGCTTAAAGATTTCTTGCTGGTTGAAGCGCTATGTTTCAGGTATATATTCTTTCACTGTCAAGTCTTTAACATATTGAAATGGAACAATCTGCTCTTTTTAGGAGATTATAACATTCAAGGGAGTTTTATCCGTGGGCGTTACCACAACAAGCAAAGATGTCGAGGAAATTGTATTTGGAAGTTAGACACTCATCATCGCGGGTGAAAGCTCTTGGGAGTTGGTTCAATTTGAGTTCAGGGGACAGTAGGGAATTGAAACCGATTTTCATTCGTTGACGCATTGAGAAATCCAACTGTCCAGCAGAAATTCCTTAGTTGGATGTCTTATTAATTGATGAAATGCACATCTGTTTGCGCAATTTATGTACCATTTATGTCTCGTTGGTTGTAATAATTGTTATTTCGTATATTCATTATTTTCTATATACTTCACAACTGGGTACGTCGCTCTGAGGAATATAACTTAACCAACACTGCTGGGTAAATGTACAGTTTGAGTCAAAAACTGAACGGGTCTGAGATGTGCAATATTTATTTGCCCGGTGCATTACTTGATATTTTCATCCTCTGAGGTAACGGGTGTGGAAGATTACCAGGGGCTTTCTCGCCAGACTGGTTGACTAATGTCACGCTCTTCCACAGTGCGAATGCCGTGTGCATATCCACAATGTCCAGTGAAATTGGTTGTTTAAGGCAATGTCATAATTGTGCTATTAAATAAGTTGTAGCCGCGCAGTCATGGTTATGCTCCATGTAAGATAATACTTTAACCTTCTGCCCGTAATGACTTTTTCATGTTAACGAACACAGCGAATGGATATCACAGTGAAGACATTGATAAATTACACATGAAGAGTTTCCAGAATGTCCCTTAATGTTTTAATTTGAATTTGTATATTGCTCCCGAGTGTGTCTTTATAGAGAACTTAATTGCATTCCTTTTTTGACCGAGAATTCGTAATTGAGGACAGTAAATAGCTTTTCGAGTTAAAACGTGTTATACATATTCTTGTTACAAAGTTAGACATGAGAGAAAATTATTGGTTTGATTTTTTACGCCCAGTGTTTTTTTAATGGTATAATGAGTTATTTAAGTAACCTTGTCTTGAATTTTTCCACTTCCCATGTCAATACATGAACTATATGTATTGAATACATAAATGAAATGATGTCCGTTTTGGGTGAATTTGGACATGAATTGAACATTAAGCACGACCCACATTTCCTTGTCTCTTTTTGCTAGAGGTTATACAAGCCCATTTCCAAGAGGCATTTGCAAGCAAGGTGTGAATCGTACAGTTTTATTCATGTGTCTAGGGGAGCTACTTTGGCGTAACTGATTGATCATGTGACCTCTTGGGTGAAGATTCAATTCCGTCGTTTGCCTCCGGAAGACACTACAACTATAATTAAAGGCGGCACATTCCCTGTTTCCATGGTTCACGTTTTGGTTTGGTTTTTCTGTTTGTTTCTGTTTTAGTAAATATTCGAAACTGTAGGTTGCACGAATTGGTTTGCACGGTATAATTAGATTGAAAGACAATTTCATTTCGGAACGCTAGATTTATTATTTCATTAATGTTGTTTGAATTCATATTATTATGAAAGTCAGTGCACTGGAATAATGAACAAGGCTTTTACTTGCCCACTGCAAGAAAGCATTTTCTTCTCGTGTAGGTTAAGGGTTAGGTCAAAGAAACACGCACGATAGTAATTTGGAAACGCCGAGTCAGAAAGGCGATTATTTTAGTATACGTCTTTTAAACTTACAGATATATTTCACGGAGAAACTTGCAGCATCATCCGTAGACAAGCACCTTTGAACAATTGTCCCAATGGTTTAAAAGTAATTAAAATTAGGTACAACCTGAAGTCTTAAACTCTAATTAACCTAGGCTGTTTAACAGTTTAAACAGCGCTTGGTCTTTTAAACTTATCACACAACTTATCAAAATATTAATGACCAGTTGCTCTAGTCTTTTTTGCCCTTTTTAAAAATTCAACATTTCAAACTTCAGATGTGTCTTTTCGTCATTAAGTTTTGAATTTTATTTTCACATTTTTGTATGCAGATAACATTTTTGAGGATGGTACACCAAGACAATAGGCCTACAATACAGTAACGTGTAAGGCTGAGAGGAAAATGGTGCTTAGTATATACGCTAGGATTTGGCTCGTTTTGTTGACAAGAGGGTTCTTCAGAATGATATGGTGGAATATTCTCTATTTTGTTTGCGTGACCACGTTCAGAGCAGAAGGTCATGGTTTGTACTTTTTGGGGTGGAGTTGAGTACAACAAGGGGTTGCCTAGGCGGTCTATGCCTTGTGGTCCTCATGTGAGGGATTCAATATTCACAAATCGCCCAGATTTTCGCCATGGTCTAATCTAATTTTAGTGAATATGTTCAAGGAACATTTAAACATTAGACAGAGAAAGACTCTAAATGTTCATGCGAATTATGCCTCCATGACATGGGTAAATTTGAATGGCACAGCTAGCTAGACTACTTCAGCTTATTGGTCGTGTCCACTATACCTATCTCTAAACTAGTGCCTGTCATATCAAAACTAGAAAAACCAGTGTTTCATGTTGAGTAGGCCTATCGTGCATTTTTTTGTACGTGTAGGCCTACTTCTAAAGCTTTTGACCCATACGGGGCTTCACCACTAAGCGTAAAAGCCTACACACCTCACTCGAGTATATTTACAATCTGCGCCCTGATATAGGTCACGCTAGCATTTCGAGTGCTAACAATTTTTTTCCTTCTGTGTGTGACCTAAGGAATGGTGTTATTTTCTTATTGACCCTTGGGGATTCGAGTGGTTGAAGCATTTTCTCAGGACACGGTGCATCTTGAAACTGCTCTTGAACAAAGTAGGGCCTTTCTCATTTTAGACCTACATGTGTAAGCATACAACTTGATACAATGCGGGTAGGCAGGCGTATCGTAACTATAACGCCGACACATTTCCCTCCTTGTATAATACTGGAGACGATTCAATATATTTTCAAGTGATGCATGTCTTCTTTAAAATAACAGAACTCAAAACACTTAAATATTCATTGGTGTTGATGATTGCATCAAATTTGTCTTAATGAGGTATATTTACTCAGTCCGTCCGTGATCAGATCAAATTGAAATAAGGCGTAAGCAGCTGCCTCCCATCTGTGTTTCGGTTGAAATCTGAGCCTCGTCATACCCTCCACGCGTCCGTCTTGTGCTGCATCCAATGTACAGGACTGCACTTACCGAGCGACTCTTCAAACACACGGGGCGCAGCACGCACGCTATGAAACAGACCCCTGGAGACACATACTCTATTGACAGTAAACTGACCACGTCCAGCTCACGCAAAAAGACCTGAAAGTTCTGAAGTACACTGCGCTTAGCTGTTCTAGATAACTTCCCGTTGGAAATGCTCATTATGTACCTTAAAATTTGTGTAATTACTGTTAAAAACACAAGGATTTAGCTAATTGGTTTCTTTTGAATGAAGTAACATAAATCAGAGAGTGGGAGATTTCCACTCATGAAAATCATGAAAGTCGAAAATGTAAAAGCTGTGTAAACGAGCTCTGATTTTTCTGGTGATTTAAAATGTGTGTGGTATTTTCATATTTTTGGCTCACGTGTAAGCAATTGTACACGTATAACTATTTTGTTATTTAAAGCCATCGTTAGGGTGTGGTTCAGAGTTCTAACGTTTTGAGATAATTAACGACGTTATAGTTTCGTTACGCATTTAAACATTGATAACTTAGTAGTAAATGCCAAACAAAATCCCATCGCATTTAATAGATTGAAGAGAGCCGTAAAGTACACCAAAAAAGGTAGCAGAATATAGTCAACTGCAAAGATTCCGGAACAAATTTAAATAATAGTGTTTGACGAAGGCTGTATCTTTACACACGATTCCCTATTTACGTCCATGACCTATATAGCATCAACGTCTTTCTGGCTCACTTTTCCTATAATGTGCGCTTGCTTGCAATACATGTAAGCGACCCATAGCAACACGTTGCTCGATGTTACTGCATAGAGACAGGATTCCCCATAGTCACTTAGATATCCACAGGGAGCACACCTCCTGGCAGTCATCACCCTCCAGCATAATGGATCCAACATGCTCTTAGGTTGGACGGCATTTCGATTCGATTTTGTGCATGTATAGGGAGAATGATGGTCATCGTGGTCAGGGTATTTGATAATGATGATTCAGCCAGCGTAGTAAGTTATTACTCACTTAATCGGTAGAACATACCCAATCCCATGAATAATCGCTTACTTTTTATTTTTTTTATTTTGTTGATTTTTTTTATATTTCATGATAAGATGAGAAGCTTAGAGCATACCCAAGCAGCAGTTTTGTCTGCAGTTCAAGAAATGACGCCTGTTTTATGTGTCGGCCTACAGGCTTGCGAGAATTATTCCTTCCCTATGTAGGATAATTTTTATTGGGGTTGATAACTGCATCAGTCACTACGTTGTATTCAGTCCATGAAAAATGGAGTAAAAGAAAGCTATCGGGACTATTGTGTGAGTAATGACTTATTGTTTAGCACTGATATAGCAAGGTTTTCGTAAACAATCAAAATAACGCCATTAAATTCCATTCATGATTCTTCGCTCTATGAATCAAATATCTCTAATCCTCAAACATTTTACTGTGAACGTCTTTTCCAAATTGACGAATAGGCGCTATAGAAATGCAGTTTTCTTTAGTTCTTACATAACTGGTAGAAAAAACGGCGATGTTTACAAGAACGTGTCTTAGCTGTTTGGTGTTGCACAATGCACACAAACACCGGTATCCATCTTTAGCCTTGGCTTTTTGGACTTAAAATCCATCAAATTGAGTAATAATGTTTGAAGGAGTAAGAGTTTCAACCAACATATTCTTTTTACACTTTCTTATATCTATACACCTGTATGCGAATTACTGCTAATCCAAACAATCCAGACATTTTGCTGCGGGGGACCCATCTCGTTAATTCAACCCGCAATGCCCCGCTCAGACTCCATTAATCTAACCAATATTTACCTAAGCACACCTACACGGATGCAATATACACATCCGTATATCGGCCCAGGAAGGTCTCACCTTAAGTCTCTTCGCTTCTTAAGTTCTTTCTTCGTACCTGGCATCCTGTTGGTATGTTAGCCTACGGAGAAACTTGCTTCTTGAGAGAGATGTCTCTACCAAGCCACTCGCCACAGATGCTCTATCACAGGAGTGGTCTTTAGTTGACTGTAAAATTGGCACAAACCTCTCACATCATTATCACAACTGTGAAGTACTGTCTGATCAACACACCTTTGGCGATATAAGGCATCTAATGAATCACTCGTATCTATTAGTGAGTCTTTGAAATCAACCGCGATGCTGTGTACACGGCGTAGTTCCTGCTCCCTGGTATTCCTGTACTAATTTACAAAGGTTATCATTTTTGTACATCAACATTATGCACTAGGGTTAATTAAACTCTGTTCGATTGCATTACGTCACCGTGGTTGTATCTCCATGCTTGCTGGTATTATTCCGTGGCTGCGGAGAATACTACGGGGCCATCGATTGCTAAGGTGGATTGGACGTGTACTGGATGTGTTAGGAAGTGAATGGCGTTGGTACCAGGTTCGGTTAGGCTACCAGTGTCGAAATCCATCGGAATGCACAAGAACCATTACGCCAGAGGTACTGCCTGGACGCCAAAAATGGGTGTGAGCAAATTAAAGTTGAACTGTTGGACGAGTGCCATGGATGGAGCCTGCAAAGCGTGACTACATCATCCGTGCGTGCTCCGGGATGTTGTGAGCCGTGCGTGCTGAAGTAGGAAGGAGGTAGCCTTATCCACGTACCAACTCTCACGTACGGTGATCACACAACGCATGCTCCCTAGCAACACGGTGCCATCCACTGAACATTGTCACGGTCCGTCTGAATGAACAACTTGCCTCGTCGCCTCGTCATCTGCTGCTTATGAAACAAACAGTCTTTCCTTGGTCAATAAAACCTTGGTAAAGCGTATAAAATTCCGACGAAATTATGCTTGTGCATAGGTTCATTCGTGGTGTTAGATGGGTTGCCCCTTTCCACAAATTTGTTCCACAAACCTTAACCCTTACACGTCCTCTTGCAAAGCTGATTGATTATGATCTATGAGGATAGGTTTATCATTTATAGTTTCTTCGCTCAGTAGTCTTTTTGAATAACACACTGTGGCGAAGCTCACACGGAAGAGAAATGAATTACATTTAAGATTCAATCGGCACTGAAAATGTGCTACACGAATGCGTTTGCCCTACATCATTAGTATGAAATCCATTGTATCACCCGTGCTAATCATATGAGGGATTGGCACAAGACTTGTCCGCGAGGTTGTCGTTAGTTCTTGACTTTCCAAGTGTTACCTCAGCAAAATTTTAATTGACCGAATGCCCCTCGACTATTACCCAGTCAAATCATTTGAAGCTCCGATCCCGTTTTGTACGTTACGTCGTGGTTTACTTCGAGTTAGTATTGATTACATCCACCCGTTCGTTTTCATGCACTGCCTGAGTACTTCATTGCTGACCTTTTATGCAGTCGTTTGTCCACAGTATGTTTTTAATTAATTTCAAAAGCTCAATAATTCTATATCTGTATACTCATTTGTTTGTGTGAGATGTTCTTTGGATTTCCAAGACAACTTTCTTGCAATTGCAACGGACTTTTTTAGCCTTAACGTCTCAGCCTTGCTGTTTTGTTTTATAACTCAGTTACTTTCCAAATCAATATTTGTGCTGCACACCTGCACTGACATTCATCCAGATTCAATTTGAATCCAGGAGATCGAATTATAATCTCGACTGAATAATCTTATCACGAAAACCTTGACTAGTTGGGCTTACATGCAGACGGCGGGCGTAATGTACGGAGGCCTTGTCACATTGTCGTTCAATTAGGCGACTTAGGGGTCCCAGATAATACCTACTTTTTTAGGGGATAGGTCTTACTAGTGCATTTATTATCCAAAACCCAATATCCTCAATTTCCTTGGAAAACGGCATACCGGGAGGCAAAATATTTCGGAAGAAATGTCAGCAATGCTATTTTATATAGCCTGTATGTTTCTACATTGTAATATCAGCAAAATCGAATTTACCCTTCACCCAAATCTTGCTCCTTGATTACAAAATAGCATGACAGAAGTTTTTGCAAGCTGTTTTTGTCCACTGGAGAGCTGATTTGACCGGTGAACATTCTGCAGGAGGGAATATATAGCGCACGTGAAGGTGAAACTCACGACATTTTTTCTGGTGATTTGGTTGTCTGTTATGATAAAATGTTTCCATTGAGGTCTTACCTATCACAACCACACTCTGCCTGGCTGCCCCTGCCACCGTGTACCGTTCAGCAGTGCCACCAGCCACATCTTTACACGAGATGGATGGTGGGATATTATCAGGAACAATCTCAGAACCCGGCAGGTTAGTGGTCCGTTAGAAAACGACCTTTTCTGCCCGAATTGTGCTAAACTATATAGTTGTTATATCCTTGCATTCCACAATGTGATGATTATCAGTGTCATTGGAGTTCCCAATGCGTAGACATAAAAACGTTCCAATCAACATGGAACTCTAGAACAAGTCGCTTTAGTTTTACAGCCCTTCGGGGTTTATTGCTTGAAAACTCTATCGTTCATCAAATTACGACTGTGCTAACGTCATAGAATTGCCCTGTTCGACCTCTTGCTTATCGGCCGTGGATATTCCCTGCATCCTGCGTTTACCTTTCCTTATCGTTGTAACATTCGATTCCCTTAGACTGTGAGGTAACGTAATAATTAACAAGCTCCCCCATATAACTTTGCATCAATAATTACGAATGTTTATGTTCGATATTGCTGGGGATGCAAATCTAGCATTCCTTGCGTTATCAATTCCTTGAAGCTCGTTGTGAAATGCATAAACCCACGGTGTTATTAGGAAGAAAAAACGACACATCCGGGGAGAGTTCGGAATAATGAAGTCGTTAAAAACTTTCGGTGTTTTTCTATTCGCGAATAAAATGGTTCTTGATTTTCCTCAAAAAAATCCTTTCCATAGTACTATTTTACTACATGCACACAGTATTGTAGTGCAGGGTCGGTCAAAAATGACAAATACAAATAAATCGGAAAATCGAGAGTACTGCTTTTTACTTTTGTTGAATTTCCAGTTGATTTGCTTTGTATTGTTTCGTATTTATTTGTTTTTCGCTCCATTTTTTCTCTCCTAAAGCCTGTCTCCTTGCAGTTCCACATCTTTTGCTAGAATGCCTTACATTTTAATAGCCTATTTTGTAAGCACCTGCGAGATGATTCTAGTAGTTGAAAATATTAACATCACGCACGACAATCACAAAAGTCACATTTTTTGCTTCCACTGTTTCTCCTGTCTTCAGTGCCTAACGAAGTGGCAAGCCTGTGGGACCGTTTGTCTTCCTGGTTAATTATTTCAAGGATGGAGACAAGACTAGACAAATCCAGCCAGAATATGACTACCTATTTCCGCGAGACTAGGTCATGCATGCACGACTGACTATCTACGTTCATTCACCATGGTTAAATCATAAAGGCTGAAATGGTTTAATTAATTATTAGTGAAGGCTACCGCTGGTGCAATTCCACCGTTAAAGGGGCCATGCAAGTCTTTTATGCAGCCCTTGTCCATTCATACTGTGGCATAATTTTTGTGCCTATCGGGTTTAAGCAAATACAAGTTGAATATTCACAAAAGTCTGTTAGGAAGAAACTTTAATGTAACGGCACAAACACTGCAAGACTTTTCAAGTATACTGAACGACTTTTATGACCAAAAATTCTCTGACAGTACGCCTATAGGCCTATGTTTTTAATTTAAAAACATTTTAAGTGCGAAATGCGTTCGGAAAACGGAAAAACACTTCAAGATTTTCTTCCTGGGATGTCAGAGCCTCAGCGCCTAAATATTTTAAAGGAACGGAGTGGAAGATTTTCAATGTCTAAAATGTGCACTTTTCAATAACCTAAACCAGAAACTGGTGTCAATATTTTCAAGCATTTCCACTTAATAGGAGTAGAAATTTGACTATTTGACTATTAATATGACTAAGCCAATGGCGCACCTGGCGGGTTCTGCCCCCTGGGGGGTTGGTGCTCTGAAAAAAGAAGGTACAATATATACCTACATCTCTGACAGAAGTGCCGTATATCCCATTCCCCTGTGGCACAACCGAGAATGTAAGCATCATGAGCTCTTTTGGGGGGTAAAGCCCGGTCCGAGCACCCCCACCCGTGTCAAATCCTGGGTGCACCACTGTAAAGAGCTACATTTATGCCAAAAGAAAAAAATTCTACTTTGAGATGGATTTCAACTCACAATCTTGTTTATTCCCTGACAAAATGGTTGACATTATCTCAGGTTATAAAGTGCAAAATATATAAATTCACTCAGAAATGGATAAAACGAACACAAGTACCATAAAAATTTTTCACAAATTATACAAAAGTCAAAGTTGGCTACAGACCTTTAACTAAAATCATTGTAAAATAAATACGTACTGGAAGGAATGGCTCGGATTGTAAGTAATACTGCTACATTCTCGATCAATGTTATAGTAAGATCTCTCTTTCTATTCATAATAAAAGAAGTAAATCTTGAAATTATTCAGTCGGCTTTCTAGTTAGACGCCAGTTTTACAATTTTTCATTAAGCCCTATCTGTCTACTGGGGGAAATTCATAGCAATTAATAAGCCTCATATTACATGCATCGACTTTGCAACTGGTTTACAAGCTAGCAACTCTTAGTACATACTACAAGATCTCACACATCAAAGAAAGTTATTCACAAAGGTCTTATCACTGCAAACTGAATACAACTACAGTATATTCCACTGCTTTACATTTTGCGATTGAACACCTTGTTTTGGAATCAGTTACTTCCAAATAAAAATAAACTCAAAACGACTATAAAAAGCACACATCATTAAGTTGATAATCTCAAGTTATACAGTTTTTATATATTAAGGTAATTATTCAATTATACAGAATCCAACTGCAGCATTGGATGACGTTTGTAGTCACATTTTCTTAATTGTACAACAGAAGACGTTGCACTTTGAAACCAGTGACAAACGTATGATTCGTTGAGACCTCATATTCTTCAAAAACATTTCTCATGGGTCTCTGAGATACTGTGCATAAAGAGAGGCAGCTAAAACAAGGTATATGTACCGAATAATGAATTTGAAACTTCAGCCAATGTGCGCTGTGAGAATACTGTGCATGTTTTATGTTTGTTCTTTTAACCGGTAATATTTAGCTAAAAATGTTAAAAGTGTGATGTCTACAGACTCTTTCTGATTCACGTGCAAATGAAAGAATGCACATATCTGTGCATGAGCACCATTCACTGCCACAGACTCGAATCAGAAACATCTTTTTTGAGCAGCTTCTTTATTAAACAACGACATCTTGGCCCAAAGTCGACAGCACGGTGAGTGTTCTTTACACAAGCACACAGATTGCTCTTCAGCTAGGCAACAGGCTTTGCACCGGAAGCGTGCAAGATGGGATATGATCTACATCTGCTTAGTAGGCCAGGATGCCGAGTCCCACACAGGTTAGCCTATTTTGATAAGCACCACTCAAAATGTGTCATCTGCAGCTTGCCTTACGAGGACTGCTCTGATTTCTTATTGGAGTATTACAAGACTGGGATCGACGACTTGAAAGTAGTGTTTACTTTGACCTGGGGTGAGAGAGGCGGTCAGTTGTTCACAGCTCTATTGATATCGAAATCAAAATAAAAAATGGCGGATGAAATTCTGGCTCTGCTGAGGTTAGGAAAGAGATCCGCACGGATCATGCTCAACTTGTATCCTTTATCCTTTTCACTAAAGACAAACTGCCTGAAAAACTTCTTTAACATAGCTGTGTAACGGTGTCACTGAAAGTCTTTAACGTCCACAGACAGATATTTAGACAGCAGCCAGTGCTTAGTATAGAATCTACTTGCAATTACTGCACAATCTCATACTGTATAAACACTGGAATTAATAGGCACTCTGATTATTTATAACTATTTTATTTGTTTGAGAAAGTGAATCTAATCTTTGGCTAATTGATGCAATGGAATCTAAAGCAACTAAGGCACTTTCCAGTTCTACACATTCAGCACAAGCAAGGCACTAGGCTACACCAAAACTGGAATAACTGGAGCACTCCGAAGGCACGTTAATCAGAAGCTTTCAGTTTTCTCATATCACTGCATTCCTATTTGTGAAGCACTTTCGGTAGCGCGTTTTATATTTGTTTTTTAATTTAAATGACTTCAGGCCAGTCAATCTGCTTTGAACATAGAGCTATGTTTTGGACTGATCTATGAAGCCAGAAGCCTTCACTAATGGTTCTCCATCAACTTACCACATGACACAACGGGTCAGAGTGCTTCATTCACAGAGGATTACAACCACAGTACACAAGGTGTTTTCCTGTGTTTACAGATTAAGCATAGTTTGCATTGGCACAGGAGTTATTTGTAGAGTATTTGCCACTGTCAGAGTGACTCCTGTGGCTGTTTCTTTCTTTCACCGGCATCAGGAACTTTGTTAACATGTTCCACCAACAAAGTAAACACTCTCCATGTATGCTACTGTGTAAAACTGGATGTTCAAACAAAACAGCCTGGGACAAGTTAAATACATGTAATAAAGAATGACATGGTAACACCCCCCCACACACACACACTCACTTCAATCATCATGATATACATGTACATAGAGCCACACTCCATGATCACCGACTGTGTCAAAACAAACTGTGGCAGGCCACTTGAAATCACTGTGATTACATTTGGACTGTTCATCAAGTGTTGTTTTAACACTGATGATGTAGAAAGGTGGGGGTTGATGAGTGGAAGATCACTACAATAGTCTACATGTACATAAACTTTGAACACCAAAGGTTTTAGAAGCAGTCAAATACGTGGTTGGTCAGGGAGCCATATACATGTATGCTGATTCATCACAGCATGGAATGTCTAGTCTTGAAGCATCTTCAAACTGGAAAATGATCCTCTAAAAGTGTATTCCAAAAATAAACTTCTGATATACAGTACTTTCCTCTCACCCCCTTGTTGCAGATCTAGGGGGCCAAACAGGGGCCATCCAACCCCACCCCCCCAAAAAGCCCCATTTTTTTTACGGACAGAGGGGCCATTTATTGGTCTGTTTCATTTCCCTTCCTTCAAATGTGTGTAAAGAACCCTACAATGTAGTTTTCATCCCTCAGAAAAGCCATAAAATTTTAATGAAAAATTGCTCCCCCCCAAACAATAATGGTTCTAGCTTTGTCCCAGCAGGCTACAGACGTTATCATGATGCTGCCATTTTTGTTTTTCCCCTGTACATCAAATGACAAAAGTAATACAACTCTATATATAGATAAAAGGAAACAGACTAATTTCCTTCCAGATTCAGTCAGGCAGTTAGGCTTGTCTTATTACTTTCAACGGTGGAAAACTAAGATGGCTGCCCCATGATAGAGTTCCGTACAGCCTCCTTCTTACCATAGGTACTGTACTTATTAAAGGGAAAGCTTTCAATTCAACAGCTTGCTCATACTACCAAACAGTATCAAACAGCCTGTCACATGAAATCAACGGCGTGGGTTACTTCAAGTATGTTCTGTTTGTAGTGGTTAGCAACATTGATGGTAACGATCAAGTTTAACTAATATGATGGGTCACTGCACTATCAACTTTAATAGTCCTTTCTGTAAGTACATTAATTATAATATTCAGCCGTTCTGGTCCCCACTTAAGGTGTGTACAGCAACATGGGATCAAGGTGATGTATCCAAGTGAATACATGAAAAAAAAAACAGGCATGTATGTGGAAAAATGTGTATTTTCCACTTGCTGGCCCACTTTTCTCAAACTGGGCTACACTCACAAACACAAGCACTTTCTTGTGAGTTGAAACAGCAGAGGAAAGCTGTGAGCTGAAATGCTGTACACACTCAAGGCACTTTGTCTAATGATTGTGATGAGAGAAAACACGGCGTGATATTTTAGGGGGTTTAACCAGAGTGCCTCGGTTTCATGTTGAAGCGACATGTTTACGCTCATTTTTTTTGTGTGGTGGCAGTTGTTCGATTAATTATCAATGTAACCCCAGGCAGTGGCCCTACGTCTTTCCGGAGAGACAACTTTCACACAATTGTCTCCCTCCTCTCAACTGTGTTGATGGCGACCTAGAAGGGCAGAAACTGTTTTCATTTGTGGAGCCATCTATGTCAAAACATGGTCCAAATGGGCTTCCATTTTGAGCTAAGTGACCACCCCCAAGCAGCTAAATTCTGAGGGTAGAAAAGGCAAGAAATGAATGCAGTGCACATCGTCTGGAATAGAAAGATGTAAACATACATGCACGCTTGCCTTGTGGATGTCGTATTCCTTGCTTGAATTTTCTTTGTTGCAGTCAAAGAATTAGTTATTCAGTATGTCCACACTTATCAAGCATATACAAATATGACACCCCAAACACTGTTTTTTGATTATCGTGTCTTTTTTTTATGCTTTGAAGCATGTAGATATTCCTTGAAAAACATTTAAGTAAAAAAAAAAAATGTAGAAAAGACAGCTTCATGTGTACATGTTTGAATCATCCAATGAATCACTAAGAAAACCTACACAGCATTCACTTGAACTGAGATAAGTGATTGAGACAGATTTAAACCTACTTTCAAGAAAGCTGGTTCAAAGATGTTAGCCTGCTTCAAAGTACATGAACTGCTTTCATCTGTCAAACATGCAATACGTTTGGACAGATTTCTTAATGGCAATCAGACAGATTTCTTCCTGGCCATCTGTCAGATACCAAGGTCACAACATATCAACACTGTCAGTACTGTGATAGTTACAGGCTTGCTTTCATCTGATGGTACATTACCAGGGTTCCTGCACCTAAAGGACAATGAAATTCCATGACTTTTCCAGGCTGTAGGAACCCTGCATTACAAACTTTCACACAGATATGTTTCTAGCCTTTGGCAATTACAAATAATGTAAACATGATCACTTTAATGGAACTGATTGTCAACAGATTTGCCACCAAAATTACTTATTTGGGGATTTCATGAATGAAACTCAACGCGCTGGCCGGAATTGGATGTTACCATTTGGAACCTTCATCCTGTTACCTTAGTAACTGGAGAATGAGGAGGAGGCACTCATTGGTCTTGGAGACAAACTACTGCCGGGACGAGAGCCTGAAGAAAAAGAAAAAGAAATGCATCCAAAATGGTTAGCCTTGAAAATGGATGACCACAAATTCAAAGTTTGAGCCAGTTTTTTGTGAAGGGGTTGTGAGAGTTATAATTATAAACTAACAGTTCTAGATTTGACAAAGAAGATGGAATAAGAAAATTGTATTATTATTTATTATGAGAAATCGACAGTGATCGGTGAGGAAAAGCATGCTACAAGACACTACACTGATATGTCTTTGTATACAACTGTAAAATAAAAGCAAACGGTTTAAACTGGCAAATTAAAGACAGTTACAGGTATTCATTTTATTCAATAAACATAGGGATTCCACAAGCTTCTAAATATAATGCTAAACACCTGTGCATCCTCACAAGTTTGTAATATAGCCTAACTTTTTGGGGGGGAGGAGGTTCGTACATGTATTTGAGACAATGAGATATTACACAGTACATGTGATTAATTTGCATAAAAAACACAATACACGTATATATTTTGTTGAATGTAAGTGAAACAGTATACATGTATTTATTTCACAAGGTATCCTTAAAATTCAAGTGCACATATACTGGTTGCCAGTTATGTCAAGTACCAGGGGCAGTTTGTGTTTCAGTCACTGCAAATCACCGTCATTCAGGTCTTCTACAAACTGGCTAAATCCTAACGCTGATGAACTGACAGAAAGTAGCCTGCACACACAGACCAGGCCCATCTGCACTGTGTACACACAGTCACCAGCACTGCAGGGCTTTTCATCCCATGGCAAGTTGCAGAATAAATAGACGGTGTATGGAATTACTGCCTAGCTCCCACACTCGTCTGTCCCTGTTTGAATTAAAGGGCTTTTGTTTCCCTCAGCTATATATAGATGTCTATTGATCGGCACCTGTATGTAGGCCACACCGGTAATTAACGAGCAGTGTAAACTGATGTGCATACAGGGTTAAGAATGAAGGTGAAACACAGGTTACATCAATTAAGATCAATGTAAATATCACTAATGGGTCAACACATGGTCAACTTAATCTGTCTGAATGAGACACACATTGTTTAACATGCAGCGACAAGTGAATTAATTTTTTCTTTTTACTGGTGTCTCTTTTCAAGCTGTAAGCCTAATTTCTCTGAATTAGCCAACAGTATTGAATAAATGAGGACTATATTGCCCAACTATGGGAAAGCTAGTAATCTGTTTAACATCATAAATGTACATGTGTACAGTGCTCCATGAAAGCACATATAAGAAGTTTAAGGCATTTATGTCTGGTAAGTTGTGCCACAGACAACTCAAAGATTTCTTTTCTTTTCAAAAGATTTTAACCAGACATCCCTCCAAATTATACAGTGTAAATACGCATACATGCACAGCAATACCCAGCGCATTTCAATTCAAGGAGAAACATAACGAAAATCTCCACACAGATATCGATATGTGCATGTGATAAGGAGAGAGGAGAGAAACTTATTCTTTGACTTGTTTGAAGCACTGTTGCCTTACACTGGCACTGCGCATTTGATGTATTAACAACAAACCTCTAGGTGTGAACCAGTCATCCACTCAGGTAATTCAATGATCTAAAACAAACACACTGTGTTGATACTCAAAATGATTCACCATCAGTAACACTTCTGTGGTCTGCTACTCCACTAAAGAACCCATGACCATACATTTTACACTAGAACTCAGATATCAGTAATGCTGGATACTAGGTGCCTTCAACTACATTAATGTCTAGACCCCTGTGATGATTTTCAAAATATTTTGAAGGAAATTTGCAATGAGCACACACAAAATTGGTTGAGGCTTACATTGTACTCCACAGGGTGTTGTTGAAGTTGTAAAAAAAATGGTTGGAATTAAAACATCGGGCCCTCTAACTTTTCTGAAGTGATACACATGTACGTAATTTGTTGGTTTGAGATACATGTACCATATTTAAAACGGGTGATTCACAATGCAGTGTGCCACAAAGAGGTTGGCACGGAGAGGCCTTTTCGTAGTGCATTATGGGATAAACAGTTGACAAAGTCTCATTTGCTAACTGCGCTGTGAGTGGGAAATTTCAATTTTCCCAAATGTTTATTTTGGTTGAAAATTCGAAATTGCTTATTGCAAATGGGTGTTAGGTAGTCAAAATGAGGGCTTTGTGTGGGGCAGAGAATGACTCAATTGATCAAATATCCCCAAGTTATGTACCAAAGTGCACTCAATCGCAGCAGCATGTCGACCGTCAATTTGAAAAGTTGCCCATCTCCGGCAAACTCTTGGTGGTGCACTGTATTGTGAATCGCCTGTTTTATACCGGTACATGTATTTTTGGCAGGGGTACATTTTTGCACCAGTGTTCATGTATGACACGATTCTTAATTTTTGTATTGTTTTTAACTTCTGGGGAGGGAACTAATGCTGTGTGGCAAACAGTATCTTAATCTGATCATTACATCTTAATTACATCATTTTGTAATTGTCTTTAATTTATACGGTGTGGGTTCTTTACTATGTCCTAACAAGTTTAGTTATGGGTTCTTTTTAGTTAGAACATTTATATACAACTAATGATACTTTAATTGTTTCATTTTCCGAATGGCAGTAGGTACATCACATCTCATATGAAAAGATGAGGTGCCACTACGGCGGTAGTGACTTGTGAAAAAGTTTGGCTGAACAAATTTCAAAGCCGGAGAGTGTTGGAATTGTACCAGAGGCACAGTCTCTCATTGTTTATTGGACCCCCCTTTTTTTGAGGTGTTAAAAGGGGGGTCCAATAAACAATGAGAGACTGTGCCTCTGGTACACAACGGACATCTCAAGCTAATCTGTCCATGGTCTCTACACAGTGGCATTCATGATTCCTCTCTTTGTGGGAATTAAGCAATGGCGTAAATTTACATCAGAAAAAAATTACATCAGAATGGCATGGCTCTTTTGATTGCAATTCCATTTTCAGTGATGGTGAATACATTTTTTGGTTGTTGGAAAGTCGGCAGCTTCTTCACATTCTAGGGCTGTGCCGAATATCCGAATAACCAAGTACATGTATTTGATCGATTGTCGAGTATTTGAATATTTTTTTTGCGAATTTGAATATTCGAATGCAAAATTCATGAAATTCATGATGTTTGTTTGAAATGAGAACTATGGAGGCTTCATTCAAATGAAAAGCGTCAGAAATCTTACAACGATTAAAAAGTAAATTATTCATTAAACAATTTAAAAGGAGTAGAAATTTTCAACAGGGCAAGAAGTCTTGTTCATCTCTTCAATCTTGCTAAATCATGGTTGGAGATACTCCTTGATGTGAGAAGCTATTATATTGATCACAATGTACAGTTGTGTGTGTTATTGCAACTGATTTTGTATATGGTTGGTTCATCAACAATCTGCCGGTCGGTGAGACCAAATACTCAGATATTCGATCAAATTGAAGGTTGAATATTCGAATAGTGAATTATTGAAATTGACTCAGCCCTATCACATTCAGCTTTAAGCTTTTTTCTCACCACAAAAAGGGAGGGGGGAGGACTCAATAGCCCACCCCCAGTCAAAAAGTGGAAAGAATATATATCACCCCCCAGAGTTACACCTGTGGCATGAAGTACTGGTAGCACTTTCAGAGGATAGATGGAGAATCAAGTTCTCTGACGTCTGGATAATCACAAGTTTGCTACATCTCATATTTCTTAGTACTTGACGTGTCTTACATTGGCACTTGACACTTGTTTTCTACATACATGTATTAAAAAACACAGTAACAGTGTCTTTAAAGAGTTGATTGATTTGAATTGTTACCTGCAGGGCTCAAGGATCTATCCATGATACGACGGGGACTGGGTGACCTTCCACTTCTTGGTGTCACAGCTCTATTGGGACTCCGGCTTCTTCTTGGGGAAGCCTGGAGTCAGAGAAATGAGATACCAGGTTAGATGGTTAAAAAAACGGTCCCCTACCAGCCTCTCTCTAAATTTGCTGATGATGTTTTGAGGCCCTGGACATCAGTGCTCTAGGCCCTACTCCATTCAAGGAAGCAGTGCCAATTTCATAGCACTGGAACATGAAGGTGCTGGAGTCGTGCATTTTACGATGCCCAGCTGTATAGTTTTCTCTACGAACTATGTTCTAGAAAGTTTGAAGCTTTCCCAAAATCAAAAAATTCAATGACAGAACTTTTAAGAACCCATTAAGTGCACGTGGTTGTTGGCGTGGGCATGAGAATCTTAAATGGTGCTCAGTGTTTACTAGATCAAGTAGATTTCAGCCCCAGCTGGTGCAGGGGTACTTTACTTTATAGAGCACTGAGGCGTGACATCATTTGAACTGGGAAGTGAAGTGCAAACGAATGGAATATACGCACGGGTGTGGTCTGTTGTACCAATACATGTATCTTTTACATTCATCACTGTGCATGTGCGTAAGGTAATGTCATTCCAACAGTGGTTAGACAAAAACACTCTATCTGTTTACACATTCATATATGTTGGTGTATATACACCAAACATGCTTTAAATTCAATTAGGAGTCATCATAAAAATGCTTCTTATAACAAGTCTACATGTATGTAACATCCTTTTTCAGTCTTTTTTTAAGGCTAAAATTTAACACTTATACCACTAGATGAAAAGAGCCAATTGGAACATGCTACCGGTGCAAAGTACGTTGTAATATTGTTTCAGTAACGGAAATTTTACGAACTGTGGCCCACTAACCCTGAGAAAAATAATGAAGCAGAAATAGTTTTGAAAGCTCCAGCCTTCCAGAGATCCATTGTGACAAAAAAAGGCTTACATTCCACATCAACTGGGCACTTTAAACATCACAGCCTGCATGACAGGCTGGTTATGCTATTGATTTTAGCAGGGGCACCACGTGTGCTTAAAGGATTTAATTCAATAACTTCAGAGGTTTTAATCACAGAGTGTATTTGTTGTTTGAAGATCAAGTGATGATATGACCTCCCCTGGCTAATATTTGTTTCACAGTGTTGACTTATGCCAACTGCGCATACAAGACACCTGCATTCACTTTCCGATGCTGTCAGTGTTTTTGACGCGTCTGATGAACATCAGTTGTTGAAGAGCAAAGCATTTCGTCACATGACTTCATGAGAGAGGAATCTTCTTAGAAATGTGCAGTTTTTAATCTTTTTTACTTAACAAGACTGCATAGTTGTTAAAAAGTAATATTTTAAAACATAGTTTCCTAAAAAAATACCCTAAATGGATTTTTGCAGTACTGCTTTGGCCAACTGTATTAGTTCAATACATTCTGGGTTGTAATGAAAACCAATGATCCATCCTTGTTCACAATCATATTGCAGTTGCATGGATCTATATCCATACAGGTTCATACAGGCATAGGGCATTTGTTTGAACCTACACCTACATGTAACATGCCTATACCCAAACCATAAGAACCTAGAAGTATGGGAACTTAGGAAGGTTCAATGCAAGCATGTAGAACGTTCTTCAACTCTTTACTTCTGTTGTGGATATTCAGTCTAGTCTTCACTGTTTGTCGCATTTTTTCTTGTTTGTTTTCAGTGTTTTTGTCTCTCGTCCAAGTGTCTGTCTATATAGGCCGTTCTCTACAAGCCCCCGCTGATATGAACAGCTCCATACTTCCGATCTTTTCAGGTTTTCTCTATTTTCTCTTATTATATTACACTGTATTCATGGCTCGTATTTATTTTACGTGTATTCTTGATTCGCATTCTAATGAAAGCATGGAAATAGATGTTGTTTTTGAATTAGAATGGATGTGATTTCCAGTGTGGTACACAGTAGAGGGACAACACACTGAACATAATTAGATGGGAACTTATCATCGTGTGCATGCTGACAGGTCTTCATAGAAAAAGTGCACTAAAAAAGACCACTTTAAACATGAAATTGAGCAAGATGTTTGGATGAAATTGAAATGTAGAGGCCCCAAAAAAACAGTTTTATGAATAGAAAATGTCGTCTGTTTCAATAAACTATTTCTCAAGAGTAAGACCATAAGAGTATTTTCAAAACTTGCATTTTTGCCCTAAGGACCTCGTAACACTGAGCTGACGACATGTGCTGTGTGTGCTGGACACGGAACCCAAGTATAAATTACACATTCAACAGTTACACAAATGGTGCCCACATTCCTGAGCAAGTACGTCGAGAAAATTGTTTTCTCAGACAAAACACTGCGTGTAGGCCCCCCACCTCCGGTAGGGTACAGCTTGCCACAACAACAAACGTTTGGATTCCGGGGTGTCAAGGGACGAGCCCGTCAGCTGGAAGAAATCAAACAGTGTCAAGTGCCATGAAGCCTGCAAGGATGTAATTATTAGTCTCAACGCACACCGAGTGGACTCAAAGACACCAGACTGAACAAGGCCAGATGAGACTTACCAGGGTAGCGCCTCGTCTGGTTACAGCCTCTCCCTTGAGTAGAATCTTTCCAGTCAAAACTTCTTGCAGTGCTGGCCAGACGTAATGACTTACTAGGGGGGCCGAGTACTCCGAGTCATAGCTACGGCGGTACCTGACAAACATTGAACCAAACAAACTCATAACCAAAGCTGACTCCATTATTTAGGGGAATTAATCAAGTTGTTGTATACATGTACGTACTGAAAAATAAATGTTTGAAGAAACCTCAATATTGGAACGTAACTAAACAAACATAAGTGAGTCCAGAGAATCTTGTCGAGACAGTTTTGTGGAGGTGGTGCTGACAGCAACCTCCAGACCTCTTCAGTTGACATCAGGCAGCTGTCTGCGATGACAAGGCCGAGACAGAAGGCTTCTTTTGGGCAGTCGACCTACAGTCAGGTGCAGCATAATGCAGCAACCATTTCTAAATGTGTGCCCAATGCTAACAGCAATCACACGCCGGCACAAGCTCATCAGGCAAGAGTGAGTTGTGTCCCAAGTAGTTGGGTCATTCTATAAATTTGGGGTCCAATTTTTTCCCATCCATGTAACATCCGGCATACGATTCTGTATGTTTTGAACACATTCCTGGGTTTCAAAGACTGATTAAGCTATGCAAATTACTAGCCAAATAAAAGACTTCAGTTTGATATCTCTTGTCAAGGTACCCTGGGTCAGGTGAAATGGACAGAAAACATTGGACCCCAAATTTAGAGAATGACCTAATTCTAAACCAATCCCTGCTGTAGAAATGCTAATTGTAACACAGCTCGTACTTACTTAAAATCATCAAACAGTTCACCCCTCCTAGCTGGCAGGATATCCAGCGGGTTAGGCAAAGCACTCATATCCCAAGCCACTTTGACCAATTCACGGATGAAGAGCGAGAGAGACTTGAAGTCTACCTCAGGAGGATATGAGAGCACTGGATGAGTGTTCATAGCCAGTAACACATCCTGAAAAATGGAAGGCAAGATATGCACCATGACGTTTTTCATCTTATCAAAGTTGTAGAAATGATTTAGATGAACTTTGTGATTGATGTTCTGAGATCCATTTCTTAAAACTTACAGCCACACATCACTACAGCGAACAGTTTGAGAAAGGACCACAAAGATTTCTTAAGACATATATACTGCAGTGTGTGTTCCAATTCTCCATGCACATTAATGACTTCTTTGTGAAATGTATCCACCGATGCCATAACTGTACAACACTTTGTGTACATCCAGAGGCTATACTGATTCAGTCCATATATTCCTAATTGTATGTACAGTATGCATGGACATGTATTATACATCCAGCCAGAGATCTATGATGCTGTCCACACTCTTACCTGCACAATACTGTGCACATCCAGAAGTTGTCCATTCTTATTGATGTAGTTTTGTACTGCTTCCTCCAGGGTCTCTGGTCCAGTGTGGGTCAGCTGCAGTGTGCTGCGGACTTTGCTACGATACAGACGATAGGCCTTCTTAGCACAGTGGAAGGCTTCCTGGATGGACACAAGCGATGACATGAAGGTCAACAGTTGTCAAACTGAGCGACAGTCAGGGTTCTAGCCGCGGTGGGCGGTGCCGGGCGGCACCACACGGTGCTGCCAATTTCCGCCCGGCACTCAGGGTTGAAATTGGCTGTGCCCCCCAGCACGGATTTTCCAAAAAATAAACTGAAATATTACTGAAAATTTAAATGTACCAATTCGATCGTATTTCAAGCATCAGAAAAAGCATTAAAAACTGCGCTCACTATGCTTTGTAATCCAAAAATTTACCCGGCACTAAAATGGTCTTAGCTAGAACACTGGCAACAGTGTTTATAAATAATGTCACAAGCTACATGTACCCTCAACTGAAATGTCAAAGGTCATGAGCAGAGTTGTATTTAAACCAAAGCGAAAAATCCATCTCAGGCTGCAGCAGACTACAACATGTTTTCACCCCTGCATCAATCCTGGGATCTACCCAGTGTGAAAAGGTCTTGAATTCCCATTCCTTCACAAGATGCAATGCAGATACAGAATTGTAAGGAACAGAAATACATGTACACCTTCTGCTTTCACTTCAAGCTAGACGACAAACTAGACTGATGTCGTGATGAATCCTACATGAGATGATCTGATCAAGGTACTCAAGTAGCGATCGGCGAACAAGTAATCAAGTATCGGCGCAAGCAACTTTTCTTGACCCGTTTATTGCATCTCACAGTGTGATGCAAACCTTCAAAACAGTACCAATGACAATAATAACAAGCTCTTGTTGGACAAGCCTCCTGCACTATACAAGACTCACCTCAACACAGGCAAACACAATCTGCTGGTGAATGTCGTGATCGTCGGACAATGTACGCAGAATATCCATGGCATCCATACGATCGCGTGAGAACATATCACCGAAGCGGGTGACCAGATGAGCTTGACGAACACGCTGTACAACATCACTGCTGACTGAGCTAGTAGTTCGTGGGCTGGTAGGCGGTAGAGGAGATGTCAGGTAATCCATCCTGAGACGAAGGGAATGACAAAAGAGGGATGAGAAAAGAGAAAGATTTACATGCTAGTTTGTGACAGCCAGCTCACACGATTCTAAGAAAAGGCATGAACAAACAGGATCCACCCTTAAAGAACTTCGAAATTGCATGTATGTGGTAAAAAGACTGCTTAGTACACTATGTACATTACATCAATTATAGTTCGGAAGACAGTGGCCCAAAAATGTGACACAAGGAGCCAGTAAACGTACGGTGATTAAGAACAAATTATTCAAAAACTTTGAAGGAAAACGGCTGACTTGCCCAGGATTCATTCAAATCAGCAACCTAAGGACACCACACAGTACAGGCACTCTATGGAATAATTTGACAAGTCTAACTTTATGCTGGCAAGTATGTATATTTAACTGTCATTCATAAGTAACTCAGACAGTTTCCCTATTCATCAACTCGCAATGTGACTGTGTAGACATTTGATAATGCCCATTGTGATTTGATAATGCCCACTGCGTAAAAACACACTGGCCCCTGGATACAAGACAGTTTAATCCCTTCCTATTGGTCAAGAGTCTGTGGGCACCACGGCATGCAGAACTCGCCAAGCAAGCACCAGGTCCATATATATAAAGGGGATTCTTCCGGACTACTTAAAATAAAATGGATGGGGGTGTTCAGGGAAATGAAAATAAAATTCTTGAACAAAATCCTTGGAAATTTATCATAGGTATATGGATTTCTTTGGACTCTCTGACTAAAATGGTATTTATGAATGGGAATTAGTATGTGCTTGGTCAACTCAGAAGATTGCATGCTGACAATGCATGTTTAAGACCGGCCACAATATTTATTCCCTTAGTAATTTGTCTTGTGGAGACCATTCATCAGGAAGCCACAGATCGTGCATCAAGTGATACGGTATCTACCACATGCTGCATGTCACACTTTGAAAAAGCACCCAGAAGTTTACTCAATCTCAGGATGCATGGATGTGCCTTTTTTAACCGCAATAAAACCAACATGACAATTGACTACTCTCACTTTTTTGATCCAGGGTGCCAGTTTACGTAATCTTTAATTTGTGAGATGACGAAGTACACCAACGCAAATGTATATACTCACCTTCCAGTTAGAATAGCCTTCTCCTCTCTCAGTAAGTTGACATCTTCTCTCAATCTACGAGCTTCCACCTCATAGTTCTCTAGAACACCAACACGAGATCTGTATATCTCTAGCTCATCCTTCAGGGCCTTAATGCTATCACCATCAAAAGAACAAAATTGATACATGTAAGTCCATCCTAATTTCTTTCTAATATCTTAAATCAGTTGAGAACTGAGTGGGGCTGATCAAGGATCTTGTGGAACTATTAACCACTACCAGCC